AGCTAGCATTCTGCCATCAGGTGAAAAAGCAATCCTTCCTCTCATGCGACCATGGAATTTATATAATTGGAGTAATATACCTGTAGTGATGTCCCATAACTTTATAGTATTGTCGGAGGATACAGATGCAAGTATTTTGCCGTCGGGTGAAAATGCCATTCCTTTAATAAACGTATATTTGGTACTTTGCTCACCCCTCCGTCCGAAAGTTTGTGTTAATGCAGCTGTAGAAGCGTTCCATATTTCAATGGTGTTACTTCGATCGGCTAACGCAATTATTGTATTATTCTTCGGTGAAATTGCAGCAACATCGATTATTTCTTTGTGTTCATATTCATATTCATCTTCATCTTCATCTTCGGAATCATTTTCCGTTCTTGGGAACCCCTCTTGTGCCGGAGAGTCCTCGTGCTTACTCAGCATCTGCAAAAGAGCGCCGGTATCAGTCTCCCACAGCTTAATTGTTCCATACCAGGATACCGACGTAATTGTTTTGCCATCCCCAGGTGCGAATGCAATGCTGATGACCGCGTGACTATGATCTTCTAGCGTCCTCAACAGTGTACCCGTAATGGAACACCATAATTTGACCGACCTATCGTCTGATGCACTTGCAAGGATTTCACCGTCCGGGGAAAATGCGAGCATACCAACTCGCGAGTGATGCCCAATTAACTTCTGTAACAGTGACTCGGTACAAACGTCCCATAACTGTATCATTCCGCTCTCGGAGAACATGTCGCCCTTCAATGACACCGCGAGTAATTTGAAATCTAGCGAGAATGCAGTGGCGACGCAAATACCCTCAGGCTTTAACGTTGTTAGTGGTGTTCCGGTAATAGTATCCCATAATTTGATCGAAAAATCGTCTATTGAGGCTAGCGTTTTACCGTCGGGCGAAAAAGTAACATTAGCAACATTGGCTTTATGCCCTTCCAACGTTTGCAGGGTTGGACCCCACGCATTTGGAGCGTTAGGGAATCGGTGTAGAAAAGGAACAGTCTTCCTTGGATCAAATATCTTCCTAATTATGCTTTTTTTCGGGGCGAATAAAAGGGCTGATACATATGTTTGCAAGGGCGCTCCATATATAATATCTTGGAATCGAAGCATGAATCGCCTTATGTCGTAAATTAATTCTTCTAAACCGGTAGCACTATCGGTCTGACTGTTGTCAATTTTTTCTCCTGGCAGCTGACATTAGGAGCTTGATAAACTCACGTTTATAATAGTCCTCAAGGCTTCTATTGCCCTCAATACCTCGAATCTCAAATCTAAAAGACTAGTTGCCTCGAGCCAGTGCAACAAGTGCTTCTGGAGAAAAGTATGGGTTTGATCGTTGTCGATTAAGCGGTGACCGCTTCTGACCAAGTGAGATATCCAGTAGCGGCAAGCGTATCGAAGCTCTGGTGGAAATTTTTCTTTTATTACCTCTCCATCAATCTCGGTTCTGAGCGTTCCTGGAGATGGAAGGTTGCAAATGTTCCTTCTTAGCCCTGCTCTAGTGGAATCCGACATCAACTCGATACATCTACTAGCGATAAATTTGTGTGATTCACTTTCATTGACCCAAAACCTATTCCTTTCTTGAAAAGAGCGGTCGAGGAGGAAATCACGGAAAGACAGATGAAATGTTCTTATCGGGCCATCAGGGTTCTTAGGTATGTCAAGCACAGATCGCAACGGTCTTAACCTGCAACGAACTGTATTTTCGGGAAGGGATAATAGGCGTGCAAGAGACAAGGCCGACATTGGGCTGGCAAGGTTAATGATTGTGCCAACGATTTGTTGGAACTCTTTAATGAGTGTTTGTTCCTGGAAAGGACTTTGACCAACAATCAGCTGGTTCAGAACTGGAAGGTAAGTTATCTGTAGCTGTGAAGTCTGCCACTCGGTCTTATAGTCGAGAACTATCTTCATCTGGTCATCTGGATTCCATTGCTCATCACCGATGAACTTGCATAAAGTTGCGGCGTAGATGAATAGTGGTGTGGCTCTTTTCACCAACTCTTCGAAACTCTCCTCGCTCGGCCATTTCTCAGGGAGGGAAGCGTCATCCCGCTCTTTCCGTATGTTATTAAATTCATTCCGTAAGAACAGTGTAATATCGTTCTCGATATGCGGTATTTCGTGCAAGACGGTATTTTCATATGCACTTCTAGGGAGCCTTTTGAAGCCGAGGATAATTGGTAATTCCTCCCTGCTCGTCAAGAACACTCGCATATCGACGGTCTTCAAACCCCTCAACTGACCTAATAGATGGATTATCAATTTTATAGTTTCTGGGTCCTCGCATTCATCAAGAGCATCAATGACCAAAAACAAACTCGCGGCTTCGGGCACCCTGGCAGGCTGGATATCCGCAAGAGGTTCGAGAATCAATTTTTGGAACTGTTCCGTCAGACTTTTGTGGGAAATACCCGGATCGATTCGAGTCGCTTTTTGAATGTTCGATCCGATCTCGAAATCATAATTCGCTAGCTGCGTAGCTATCGTGGTTAGGAAGCGGATACCGGTTCGGCGATCCCCTTCTTCACGGTTGAAGAAGAAGCTGCCGGCGAGTTGCCCGTCTCTGGTTAAATTCTCGGCTACTGTTCTGGATATGGTAGACTTTCCGGTCCCCGCTTTGCCAAGTAGCCAGAATATAGTTTTCCCCTCTGGATTCTTGATCCAATTTGTAACAGTCTTGAGAAGTTCTACCCGAGTACCCGCCAGACAGCTAGACTTGTGCTGATTTGCGTAGCTTTCGTAGGCTGCACCTTCAGCGATAGGTAGGTTTAGAACAATTCCTCCCAGTTGAATCTTCTCGCTAGCTATCATATATGAGAAAAATAATCAGTACTTAAAATTTCCTCTTACCGTCACTAAAGCATTTACGAGGGAGCGGCTCTGGCGCTCGCTTCGATAATTCATGCCGATGCAAGACCGTGGATACTTACCTCTGAAAGGTAGCCGTCGTATAAGCTCTTTCGCAAATGCCGCGGCGGATAAAGCCGCATACGGTTGCCAAATTTTGTTTTTATGACTATCGGAATAATCACAGATACCTCGAATAACTAACGAAGGTAACTCATCCATCACCCCCGCGGCCTCCATCTCGAAACACGACACACCCTTCTCCCGAATCAAAAGGTCTCTGGTGGGCCCGTGTTTCATAACCTGATTGCCGGATGCTATTAAACCGTAGTGAACGTACGGCCCGTCATTCAGCCGAGAACCCCTTTGAATGACCATAGTGGAGTCGCACGAGTCGCAAGAATCATTCTCTGAAGGGTGATCACAATTTGCTTCGAACAGTTTGTCGCTATCGTTTGGTGGGCGACCGAATTCCGGGGGAAGGCTTCCATTTTTCAGAGAATCTGCGATTATATTATCAACGTAGATACTATTTTGTTTTCCAGGACACACCGCAGATCCAGGCTGGCTGGTACCTCGCAGTTGGCTTTCTGCCTTTAGCTTCGCTGTCGCCGCGAGGAAGATCTTTGGTGGTTTATTAACTACGCCGGTCTGCACAAACCGACCCGCTTGCACTGTTTTCCCAAAGTCATATTGCAGTACGCCACCAAAACCTGGAACCGGCTCGCTCACTACCACATCACCTAGCCTTGTATCGCGTTCTGGAGGGTTTGGTGCTCCGCCAGCTATCCCTACCACCAAGGCGACCTCTATATCCGGAAAGCTCTGTCGCATTTGAGTAGCAATAACGGCCGCAGATGTTACACCATAAACACCGGACGGAAGGCACGCGATTATGACATGGTAGGAACCTATTCGGCCGAACGCATAGGTATTGTTGTCCGACTGATGTTGTGGTAGTGGTGAGTGTCGCTCGTCAAACATGGCGATAGCCGCGGTGAACTCAAGAGGTAGGGCGGATATCCAACCTAGGGAATAGCTCTTGGAATTGTACCGCTGAGCCATTTTGTCTGGATGGTGGTACGATAAACCAAAACTTAAACTTCGGGAGCACTAGTAAAGCCAGAGGAGTGAGAATAAAATATCTGGAGCGTAAACTTCAGCCAATCAGTATTGCTATCCCCTCGCAATTCTCACAGCCTTGTGCGGGGTGCCTCTCTACATGTCGAGTGCCGGATTTGCGGTCTCGTGCAAGAACCAAAAGGCGCAAATTTGATATTTACTAGGCAAAACAGGGCCATTATCTTGCTACAGATATCGCAAGGTTAATATCGGTCCTCTGATCCCAGACGCTGCAGCACTGTCGTTGGCTGATGCAAGTTAACGGCGCGGTTGCATTTATTGGACCATTTTCAACGCCCAGCTGCAGCGGTAGCACTGGGACAAGACTACGACAAGATACTTAATCATTCATCTGATACTTTGACATATAGGAGGGAAAACAATATATTTTCCAGCAACTACTCATAATACCATTAATTCAGAGGTCAATTAATGAAAGTTTATATATTGTACCGACAGCCTTTGAAAGTTTTAGCACTAAATTTGTTGTTTGGGTGGTAGCGGGTCGCTTGGGCCCCCACTGCTCGAGTCTGGTCTCATGGCTAAAGGGTCGTGATCGCTAGCAAACCAAAAAGTGTTCATCGTATGATATGTGATATCATATAGACGCAGTACCAATTGTAAAGGTTTTTTTTTTTAGTCGGGAAGTCGTTCGTAAATATGTGCCCATCTTAAGTTCAACTTGATGCAACTGGAGCGATATCCCAGGGTAGACAAAATAAAAGTTCCAACACATGAAAAAGGTGCTTTAATAATGTATATCTATTGCCCTGGTCTTGGCAAAGACTCCTTGCAATACTATTACCCCTGCGCTGAGAGTGTGTTAGCGAAAGAGAAAGCCAAGCCTAGGTTGCCAGATGCCATGGAAGCACCCTTTTCATGTGTTGGAACTTTTATTTTGTCCACCCAGGAATATTGTTCGAGTTGTATCAAGTTGAAGATGGACACACATTCGTGTTGTTTGTCAAAATATATTTCCCATCGTAGATAGCTACGACAACAAAAAAGGTAACTTTTATGAAAGGTCGAACTGGGATTCGAACCCAGGTAACCGGAAGATTTCAGACTCGAGAAGTCCTTGTCAAAATCCGATGTGATAACCAACTACACCATTCAACCGTATTCGATGGACCCAACTTGCTTAAGTTTCAATTATATACTTTATCTGCATCTCTCCAAAACAAAACATGACAAACACTTCGTTTGACTACTCCCAATTTGTCCTTCGGTATCAGGCTCGATATCGAGGTATACATATCTATACAAATGGTCAAGACCTCCAAGTCCCCCAAGTCATGAAACCAGATAAACTAACGTTTTAATAGGCCGGAGTCACTCGGCAGGTCCGCATGCCATCTGCAGTATCAATTAACTTAGATTCTACGCTGGACCACTCATGCATCGCAATGACGCTGGTTATGCCTAAAAGATTACACGAAAATTCGACGTCTGGCAAAAAATACCACGTCCAACGCATATGCATGGAATCCACGTGGAGACAATTCATATAAAAAGGAGATCTCAATCGAGATGTATGCTCGATGTGGTGGACATCGCTCAGCAGTTGTCTCTCGAGTAGCTGTACTTCGCAGCCGCAGTCTCACCGACGCTGCCTCATCCCGTCAAGCCAACTCGGCCACGGGCCAGCGGGATAGAGATCTTGTACAACGAAAAGACCTTCCCAAGAAAAAGCATGCCAAGTCTCTCAGGGGGACTATGTCGAAATATAAAAATTTGGGAAGACGCGCGGCCTACGAGCGCCCCTCTCGAATGGATCCCTTCGCACGATCGATAACAACAAACAACGGCCTCTCTGTGCGGGTCATCAGAAATCAGGCTCATCCCAATAAGCACTTTATTGAATCAAAATCGATGCCAAATAAGGATTCGCAAACTGAAACTACCAACACCGCAGCTTCTAGGAGCTCTCCTAGCGTTCAACCACGCGCCCCATCTCCTGCGGCGCATATGCAATGGTCTCTTGACCCGAGGAGAAAAGCGGTTCCGAGACAAAGCAACACCCCCACAGTTTCTTTGAGGCATAAACCCAGTTTTATAAAGACTTCATTTGCACTGGCGAAATCAGAACCAGAAAGATATCTCGACCCTTATTTCAGATTCGGAATAGCCTATATTGCGCGTTCCAGAAATCTTTATGGTGATCTGTCTACAAGCCTGATAAATGTGGCTAACAGGGGGATATGGCATCCAGATCTTCCTGTGCTGAGCATGTTATCCTCGCGTCTCAGTGTCTCAATGGTGAAGGAGATTGGGATGCGTGACTATCGCAAACAACCTTATGCCCGTCTGGATAAAGAAGCCCTAGAAAAATATAAACTCCACTTATGGTTCGATAAAATGGGTAACTCCTATATACGCAACGTTCTCGAGAACATTTCGCACGAGTATTTTTGTGACGAAACTACGCCCCTCATGGAAAAGGTAGGTTATCCCTAGATTGCCAGCTTATATCCTCTGATTGGGACTGCCTTCCTTCTGAACGCATCTGCTGCAATAAATCATTCTTCCCACCTGAGTCTAACTATTACGAGTGATAGAGGATCACACAAATTGTGGATAGTTACCCTCTGTTCAGATTATTAATAGCCTTGAGACTCCATTTCCTCAATACTTTTGCAAGCTTTGAATCCGAGGTATCCTGTGTGACACAATATTTGGATCGATCACCCTCACTTAGAAATATAGCCTCCACTCGGATACTTTTATCCTCGCCCGGTGAGGTTAAGGAGGCCATACTGATGCTCAAGGATCTACCCAAATTTCCCAGTAGCTCAAACCCTACCCGAACTCGAAGTCTCCAAGAGAGAAAGGAAGAGGATGCACTAAACCTGCTGATTTCAGCTGTTGACCCATATCTCGGAGCCAGGCTGTGCCAAGGAAAGCTTCTGAAAGGCCTTCATTTGCGCCCAGTGTTTACGAACCTTTATGATGATATGGCCTGGTTTCTAAATCTTTGCGGGGATATACTTTTCGCGGTAATGCATCACGAAATCCATGAAGCAGATCGCTATCTCGAAAAATTTTACAGAAAGAGGGACGTGGCCACGAGTGGTGCTAGCGTCAAGCACTCTACTTGGTCAAGCAAAGCTGTACAGCAACCTGACAATCCTATGCAAATTCTAGATACGAAACCTAGGCAATGGACTGATACTACAAAAGCCATTCACCCTCCGCAGCCTACTCCTCCTATAGAAACAATACATGTCGACCCCAAATCAAACGAAATCTGGGAAGATTTGGATTTGCTGTCACCTACCTCTGAGGAGCCAATTTGGAAAAGACTACCGCCGAATGCTATATCATCTGATAAACCGCTAAATGGAAAAACGGTGTTGCCCCAGAACCCAGGGCCATGGTCTAACGCGGACCTCAAGAATATTGAATCAATAGTAAAAGAGTTCTATAAAACCGGCACAGGGGTAGATTCTGAGAAACCTAGTTATCCACAGTATTCCCCAGTAATTAGATCTGGTATCTCCGCAGAGCCCCCACCGCAACGGACAAATGTCAATCCAACAGGCGAAAATTCGAAGTATCTGGGACCTGGAGCAAAATCTAAAATTATAGCGCATGACTACAACAACGAAGTATTGCAGGGGTTTGCCAATGGGAACAAAATGGCCAATCAAATCAAAAACGGTCTCGGATCGGAGAATCCACATGATTGGGATGAGATCACAAAGCTCAAGGATGAAACACTCATCCGTGAACTCAACGCCAAGGCTACAATACACAAGAGAAAAAGCACTGTTCAAGATGAAGACGATTCTTCAGAAAATCCCATCATTCGGCAACACTCACAGAGCAGTGAGAAATTCTCGCCTACAGTTTCATCTGGCTTGAGTGCTAATACCCATGAGGCGTTACTGAAAAAGCTGAGTATTTTATCAGAACGCCGTCAAAGCTTGGAAGCCCGTGAGGCTAGACTGAGGAAAAGTGGTTGGGCCTCGCTGACATCGGCAAGCAAAATCGAAACGCCATCCAAAGATGAAAAATATTCGGAGGATGTGGAGGCAATGGCAGAAATATTAGAAAACAAATCGGAAATACTAAAGCAAACGAACAAACCAGAATCATTTGTAGGGGGCGAAGAGGATAAACTAGAACTATCGAATGACAAGACGAAACCAATTACAGATAACAAGCCGGAAACTTTCGCCTCTAGTGGGGCGATGAGAAACATTTTTAGTTCCCTTTTCGGTGTTAAAAAGAATTAGTAGGCGGCTGACTCTAACTTAAGAGGCCAATTCTACAAATACAATACGTAGTTTAAACAGCGAAACTCGACGGGATCTGTAAATACTATCATTTTCACATACACGGCTCTCAAACCAAGTTAAACGGCTGAAAACGCACCAAGAATTAAATGAATCACAATTCTTAACAATGTCATTAGTATTTATCTAGTCGTCATCTGCATAATCTCTACAAACAATCTAATTACTCTCCACCACTCTTCCAGCAACTCCCAGGTAAGTTGACTGGTTATAGTACCCAATCAACTTGACCTCTTTGATCTTCCTCCTCTTCTCAACGGGCAGGGCAGACGACTTGTATAAGTCGCCGCCACCCCTCACCAACCCTTTCATCAATTCCTCGCTTCTCGTTTTAAAGCGATGCATTATTTCTTTCTTCGTTTCATCGCTGACCAAGACAAATTCAACATCTTCATCGACGTCGTATTCGTCTCCCTCTCCGCCGGATAATGAGCCATATTCAAGGCTCAATTGGGCTTTGGCTCGGGCCTGGTAGTAATAGGCCTCGAATGGGTCTTCTCCCGGGGTTCGCCAAGTTACCTCGGCAACTCTGTATCCATACTATGACCATAGATCCGAATTCTATATTAAACACACAAATCGGCATTAGTTGATTCTTTCCTACGCGTTGGATCGAATGCAAGGGGAGAACTTACAACTTGGCCATAACCTCCCAACCCGACTAGCCACCCCGCCTCAGCCACGGTCATACAAACCTCTACTCCCTTCTCGAAAACGGCGTTGGCGAATCGAATCTCCCCGCTTAATCCCTCACCCTGCCCCGCGATCCCTTTCATGAACTCTTCCCACTCTTCATTCCCGAACGGGAAGTATCGGTACAAAAGGTAATCACCACCGGGTACTTGAATAACAATAATCTTCGGCTTCAAGCTCTCATCTTCATCGTTCGGTTTGCCATTATAATGCATCGAAGGGTTGATACTCGCTTTTGGTTGGATGCACCACATCAGAGGAGCGATGTGTTTCCAGTTTTTAATGTTGAACAGTTGTGGTAGGTATCTTTCGATTTTAGCACGCAGTTCGCGGCCATCAGGAGTGTATGTGCTCAAAAGTGTTATCGGCAGCTTTGGTACAACGGAACCATCATGGTTGTACGACTCATATGTGCGCTGAAGATAGTGTGGGACCGATTCTGTGGATTCTAGCACCATCGCATCCTCATTAGCATCCCATACCCAATTCGATCAAATTGATATGATGGGAATCAATCTGGTTAAGACCTACCAAACGCCTGACCCTCCAAGATTTTGAAAGCATAATACGCAACCCCAGCAAACTTCTTCATCTCCCACCTTCTCGCCTCCTCACTCCACTCTTTCACCTCGCCAATCTTGGCATATTTTCTCCTAAATCCCCTTCTCCCCTTCTTCTCCTTTCCTGCCATATGATCTCCATAAATGAGCACCTGCCTCACAAGATCATCGTACTTCCCATCTCTCGCAAAGCGTCCACACCCGCCACTCTCCAAAATTTTGTCAACGAGTCTTTTGATCTCTTTTCTCTCTGCCGGTGTTCGCTTACGCAGAATGGAGAGAGCATGAAGAAGGGGTAAATCTTGTCCCTTGAAGTTCGTACTCGAGGATTTGTTATCATAATAGTGGTTATTATCGTGAGAGATGATTATATCACCAGATGATGAAGTGAGGGATAAGCTATCTTGGATAGACAATGAAGAATGAGTGGATAGAGAGGATAGTGATAGATGCCGCTGCAGACTGTTATCTCTAGACCTCTTTCTTTTGCGAGTTCGGGTGAGCTTTAGAGTCGAACAGACCGTTTTGACAGTTTTGACGGCCGCTCTGAAGGTGTTGTGTGACTTTT